AAAAAAAAAAAAAAAAAAAAAAACAAATATACGTATTTATATTGCAAGAAAAAAAAATAAGGAATTTTTAATATATGCTAATTAATTCTGGCAGTTTCTTGGCAAACTAATTTTTTTGGGAGCATAATTTGGAATTTTTTGACTTTTTATTTTGTATAGATTTCAGCATAATAGGGGTATATATAAATTTACATTTGTTCACTAATTTTAGACAAATTGCATAAAATAATTCTATATTTTTTATTTGATTCAGTATACTCGATATAATCAAATTAATAATTTATATATACTTTTATTCCTATATTGGACAATAGATCAATATTCATTAAATACATAAATAAAAAATAAAACTAAAAATAGAAATAGATCAAGTAATACTATTCGTGCCAATCTCCTATAAAATTGGACAATTGGGATTCGGAGCCAACATAAGTTGAAAAAATAAGACATGCCTGTGAAAAATATGCGTAATTAATTAAAAAAAAAAATTAAGTAAAAGAGGAGATATAATGGACTTTTATTTGTTAGTCTTGGAAATACAAACAAAGTTAGGTATCTATATGTGTAGAAAACCATCTATTTTTTTATTAAATTAAATTCCTAAGTTAATTTAATAAACATTAAGAATTATGTATTAGCTCTTCCTAAAATCATTTGGCAGACATTAAATTTTTTTACACTTTATACGTATGAATGGCAGCAAAACTAAAGAAAAAGCACAATTTCTACAAGTTTCAACATAATTTATTTCAACTTTTTATTTACAATTTTTTTTTTTTTTCCTTAGGCTGCGGTTTGATTCCCCTTATTAATCATGATATTACTTAATGTGTTATTGTATCAATATGTTTTAGGGAAATGTTATGGTTTCGTTACGGAACCATTTCTCGGAGTTTATAACCGTTATATCATCATATAATCATCAGAAATAGTTGATCTAACGGTTACAAATACCGAAGAAATGGTTCCGTAACGAGACCGTAACATCTCTCTATGTTTTATTTATTTGGTAACAAACTGAAAAAGCCCATGAAATAGCGAAGGCCCGGTTTTTACTCCTACGATTTTGTTATTGTGTATCACACCCTCTTTGCATGATGCAGTTTCACTCATCTACCTAATGTGTTATATGACCAAATTTACCTTTTAATATGTGGAAAAAGTTATTTGTACAACTTTTTTGTACAACATTTAATCACAACATGATGTGACATCATGTTGGTGGTTGAGATGCAAATGAATGTATGGATAAAATTTGACTTAGTGATACTTTTAACTATTGTTGTCAACAAATGTTGTAAACAATAATTGTACATGTAGCATTGCCCTTAATATGTTTGGACATCAAACAAACCGCTCATATCAGTTAACCCGGTCAGGGTTTCATATTATTGTAGCTATTATTAGAATCGAGTAGACATGGGTCGGCCTAGCCCGCCTGTTCGGCCCGAACCGACACAAATCGACCCGTTGACCATGGGTCTTGAACCGGCCATTGGTTTTGACCAGTCTGGTTCATGTTCAAAACTTTGTAGTTTATACATTTCGAACCGGGTGGTTTTGGTTTCAAACTGGAACTGAAGGTTCAGCCTTATTTACAAAAAAGAACAATATTATGTTTTATTTTTTAAATGAACCTGGCGGCCAAGAACCGACAGTTCAATGAACCGGTCCGTGCATATGTTCGGGCCGATTCAGGGCCCTCCAACCCTCGACCCAGGACTTTCGGTTTCAACCTGAAACCGGTTTTCGCCATGACTAGAATCGAATTATCTGTTATTATATTTCGATTCAAAATGTGAAAACTCAATCTCGACTCGTTTATATATTTAAACAAGTCAAACCCAAATAGTTAATTGAATTTCTCCATCAAAGAAATAGAGTCGAACATGTTTGCAATCAACTCTGTAAGAGTTTTTTCTTTATCTAGGAAATGAGGTCAAATTAATCATTGGAGGCGAATTCAACAAAACCAAACAAAAATAGTTAAAGTACTGGTGCAATGTGATAAACCCAATTAATAAACCCAATTAAATAGACCGCAGGAGAAGTGTGTGTCAAACTTAATTGTCGAGTTCATTTGGTACTGTTTATTGTATTTTTGTGCTTATTTTCGTGTGTTTTATGTGTCGAGTTTAGTATTTTTTTGGTTCGTTTTAGTGTCGACCGGTGTTGAAAAAGAGAGCTAGTCAAAGCATGAAACTTGAATGAGGAGAAAAACGTTTTTTCATTGATATTTTGATCTCAACTCATACAATATATATAGCTGCTTGAGAATAATCTAGATCCAAGACACCTCACTACCTTACAAATCCTATTCTTATCCAACCACTAGAATAATGTGCTG